GCACTTCTAATAGTAGGCGTAGGCCCGTCGCCCTAAAACTCATACCTGTGATTAATAAGAAGAATTTGATGAGTGTCCCCGCCCTTCTTCCCGTACAGAGTCTGTCAAACTCAGCTGTCTTAAACGACATTGGCGCTGTACTCTGATCTGATCTACTCATATCAGAGTACGCCACTCGTGGTCATAGGAGAGCTTGGAGGAGAAAGCTTTTAGTTCACCTTCATTCCATAGCTACTTAGTACCTCAGATCCCTTCTCCTTTGAGAACTACCACTCAAGACTGTTGGATCACTCATCAATGTCATAAGCTGAAAATTATGGCTTTGGGGAAGCCGATTCTAACTTGGCTGACACTGACACCGAGAGGAAAATGCTTCTTGATGGCATTCCCGGCCTATGAGGTTCTTAACTAAACTTTGGGATTTGATACATAGCAATAAGTTCCACCGTCACACTATCTAGTTCAGGAAGTTCTCTAGCTTGATTTGAGCTCATTGGCTCACCAAGAGTCATTCCTTTATCGATGGGCAATAAAATCAAAGACAACTGTGAGGCTGCAAAGGGGAAGAAAGGATAAACTGAGAATAGAAACTTTACGTCACCGGCTCGTTAGTAAACTGGGACACGTTTAGCATGGGTAAAGGTCGGGGAGAAAGTGATGATTTGAGGCATGAATTCCACCAAGCACAACTCCGGCGGGGGAAGCTGTAGCTTATAGGGTGATCGTGGTATAACCTTTATAGAATATCCTCTCCCCCAGGAAAGCTAACTCAATAGAAATTCTCTCTCTCGCCAATGCTATTGAATCCGCAGCTATTGGTCTTGGAAGACAATTTTGTCCTTATTTAGCTTGAAAGTAGGCCATTGCGATCAAGGTGATCATCTTTCCCTGTCCCTGCTAACACACAACTAAAGCATCGTGACTCTTTGATTCCACATGCCCTACCTCCACGAAGGGATGGAATAGACACTAATCAAGATATACTAGTATTCAATCCTGAAAGAGTTAAGGAAGTGCAGAAAGATAGACATTAGTCTTGGACTTCATCCCTGAGGAGAAAGATCCACCTCAGCTTATCCTAGAGCTAGCCTCATACTCTGAGGTTTATGTTAACCATACGGGTCTATCAACCGCCTCATTTGCAAGGCTAAGAAGAGAAATGAAGGAAGGAAAGCTGTTATAGCAAGGATTGATTCTTTTAGGAGCTAGCTTAGCCAGACTTCCTAGAATAGTTGTATCTGTATAATAGAAGAATAGAGCGAGGGTTGCTTTCCGTAACGGGCTACTAACTACGACTTTGCTTCCGCAACACGTTGAAGGTCTTCGTCAGGTGTCGGAATCACATTTAGATTGTGGTCTATGAACTCAATACCAGATAAAGAAGCTGCGAACAACTGAAAGAATAGAGGGAAGGTTTCATTCACACTTCTCTCTTCGTCATTCTAAAGCAAGGAATGAAGTTGATCTTCTGGAATTAACAAAGATAGAGGCCATTATCTTATATATCATATCTATTTTAAAATAGGACTGGTTCAACTCGACAGGATGGTGTTGGCCAAGAGTGACTAGCAACACGAAGTAGGGATGCCTTGAGGAATCGGTATCACCGGATGCCTAAATGCTTTAGTGATAACAACCTTTATGATAACATTTATTTTTCAGCATTCGATTGAAACAGACTTTATCTTTGATACCCTATAAGATAGGGGAATTTCTTGAGTTTAGAATGCATTATAGCGTCAGACTCGTTATAAAATATCAACGTAGATTTAACCGGGCTTCTTCTTTTTCATAGCATTGTAGTTAGTAGGTTGCATGGGATTATCAGCTTGATGTGATGAGTTCTATTTTATCTTATTTCTCTTTCGACAGGATGAAATGCTTCCTGTCGATTTGACGAGAAAGAAAGACATTCCAGAAGCTTCACTTGTACCTTAGTAGTCTGTCTCAAATAGGACTGAATCACAGAAAGAGAACGAGTGAGGAGCTCTCATTTCATTCCCAACAGCTTGGCTGATAATGAGGAAACTAATTCTACCTTTACCGATTGGACTGGTCCAACATCTCCACAGGACGCCCTACCTGTTGGCGCAAGGGAATTTATTTAGGTAGGCTTTCTTTGCCCTGCGACCAAAGAACAAAGGGAAGCTCAGCTCTCACTACCAGTGAATGATGAAATGCCTTGACTTAGAAACCACAACCCTTCTGTCGAGAGGAAAATCCTTTCAAGCAAGATAGAATCTTAGGGATGCCTTGCAGTTGAAGCCTCTGGGCTTAGCACTACTATGACCGAAGAAGACGATTGACTAAAGAGAAAGACTCCATGAGCCACTTCGGCACAAGGTATTGAATAGCCTATAAGAAAGAATTCTCACAAGGAAAGAGACGTTTTGGAAGACCAGTGAGTGAATTAGCCCTTTCATTTCCCTTACAGACGAACTATAGTATAGAAGGAGACATGCTTCCGAATTTCCAGAGTGAGCGCCATACATTACTATAGCACACACCGGCCCCTAAAGAGAAAGGCTTTCGTCCTTCCTGAAGATTATGGGACCTTTATCATATTAATAATTTATGAAATGCCGGCTAAGGCGATAAGGAAAAAGAGAGGGGTAAAAAAGGAAAAGCTGCAGGAGAAACCTCGCTTTCGTGGTTGCTCCAGTTACCGAAGATCCGAAAGAGCTTTGATTCCCAGTTCGTTAATCAATAGAAGATACCCACGGGTTACTTCCTTTATAGGCAGGAATGGAATGAGACCATTCAACATCCGAAGGACTCTACCGCCGAAACGACCGATGCCTGATTCATTGCTCGCTCACAACCCCGGTTTGCACTCCGATAGAAAAAAGGAAGGGAGTTGAAGAGTAAGAAAAAGGCTTACCCTTAGACCTGACCAAGATAAGTAATATCGGTAGTCGAAATAAAGGTCCCTCGAGCTTTATTAGTAGTTACACGAGTGCTCAGATCAATACCGAAACACATATAGAGTGTCTGGTCTTTAAGCCCGATAATGCCACAAAGAAAGAGTATAAGCAGGAATCCTTGCACCGAATCCATACCGAAGAGACTTGAAAAGGTCTCAGATGATCTACACCGAAAAGACATTAGGAGCACTCATTCCATGTACCTGGGGAACTTATTCATAAGGGATGGATCTACACCAGAAAAGTAGTTTACGGCCGGTTCCCATATAGACACTATGGCCCACCCTTTTTTTGAACCTTGTCAACGATCGAACTTAAAGATATGAACTGAGTTCCATTTTATGAGTAAATGAGAACAAGGGAGAGGGATATGGAAAGGATGAAGTAATGAAAGACGAAGTCATTGCTAGTAGTAACGACTTGTCACGATCCATTGGTTCATATAAAATCCATGTCCTAGGTGTATCAAAAAACATTCTTTTCGCTAAGCGTATATAATAAAATAGAGTGAAAGGTCCACCCCGAAAGGGGGTACTAACTAACAGCTGAGTCCTCTCCGAACCGCAGGAGATAGTTGCCCATCATACGGCTCACCAACTTAACTTGCCTCTACGGGAGACTCGCTCCGGGCAGGTTCGGATTACAATACACGACTCTACGAAGGAAAGGGTTGGTGGGTTGGGAACGTTTTAAATGTTATTATTTTTCCGCAATGAGAAATGCAAGACGAAAAAGGAACCCATCTTTTCGTCTGGGAAATGCGTGTCTGTTTTGTCCACTTTCTCCATCCCTCTCTATCAAAATGATAAAAAAGGAAGGCGAGCTTGCTTCTTATTCTCGTGTTCGATCTCTTCCATCTCTGCCCCGCTCGTTGTCACCTATGTTGAAGAAAGGTTTGGAACCCTGTAGAGAGTTAGAAGGGACCAAGTATCTTCCTCTCAACAGTGCTTCTCGGGGCTCCACTCTCCCCCCCCCCCCCTTCAATAAGTAAGGCCGCGTTAGCCTAAGCGCAGTTCTTTGAATCAAACATTGAAGGAAATCGATTCTTTTTTAGATATCAAAATAAAAATAGGATAGGATAGATGGATGGATCTATCTTTCTATTAATATATATATGACTAAAAAAATGGATTTCTTTAAGTATCGTAGCAAAAAGCCCCCAATCCTTGATTTGGCTAGGTAAGACTACATTGCTTTGGGCCCAGGAAGAGTAGGGAATGAGCTTGACTGCTTATCCTCCACACTTATTTTTTATCTCCGTGCCCCTTTCGCATGCACTTCACGCGTCATTGGCGCTTTGCTCTCCTCTTATTCTTCATTGGACGGTTCGGATGGACTTCGCTGTTCTTTCCCAACAAAAATAAAAAAGGTTGTATCACATCGAGATTTCGATTCGTTTTCCGCCCCCAATGAGATGGGGAATTTGTAACCCCCTATTTTTAATTTTGTTTGGACCCTTCATCTTTTGAATTGAGGCCCGACGCGCGTCGTTCCAACAACCGGCGGGGAGCACCTCAGTATACGATCGCACACAGTAACTTGGAGTCCTGTTTTTACACCTAAGGCAAACATCAATTCACCAAACCAAGGTTCATATCGTGTAGTGATTGTGGACTCATACAAGGATATTGAGTAGACGGTTGATGTTTCAGACTCGACCCTATCTTTCGTAGCATGCATTTCCATCAGTGTCGCAACTGATTCGGTAAGCTACGTGTTCGGTGCACGGAGAACTGCCTTCGGTCCCCCAAACTGACTGACTCGTGGCAACCTTCCGGCCGCCCAATAACCTATAACGCTAGTCACTACTCCCACTGGGGCTAGGGAGTAAGCCCCACAACCCAAAGCGGCGAAGAACAAATAGAATTTGCTACAAATTCCGGCTAACGGGGGTATTCCTACGTATGAGAACATAGTAATGGAGAAGGTTATAGCCGAAATAGAATTCGTTTTGGCTAGAGCGCCCAAATATGCTATATATTTGACACGGGTTTGCCGTAATGCTAAAACTATGGCGAATGCATCTATCGTCATTAATGCATAAATAAAGATACCAATTAGTAGTGATTGAATTCCTTATATGGTTCCACACGAGAACCCAGTACGAATATAACCTACATGTCCAATTGAACTATTAGCTAGAGGTCTTTTTACTTTCGTTTGGGGCATGGCGGCCAGTGCTCCTAAAATCATAGAAGCAATGCTGCAGAAACAAAAGATTTGTTGCAGTGTAGCTTCATAGGAACCATAAATAGAAACACGTGATATATTAGCAAAAATAGAAATTTTAGGCGCAATAGAAAGGAATGCTGTAACCGGGGTGGGTGAACCCTCATAGATATCAGGGGCCCACATATATAGAGTCAAAAGAGATATGGAGTCCGAAGGGGAGGGGGTTTTCTTCGGGGCTTGAGAGATGGAATAGATAGGGCCTAAAAAGTGTTGAATTCGCCGCTGGGGAATTAACACGAAAGGGAACGAAGAATTCTCGACGAAAAATAAAGTGCTATCTGAACCGAACGTGAAAGTAGTTTTCTGTCAGACGGCTGTTCCCGTAACTCCACTCTCCACTTGGATTATATATCCAAAAAGGTCCGCTCTTGGCCATTCCACACACTGCCTAGCAAAGGCGTGGTTATCTCAAGTGGATTCTCTCTTTTTTAGTAGATGTCGAACCTGCTGCCCCATTGACTAAGAAGGGGGCAGACGCACTACATGGACCCCTTACTTTCTGTTGTTGCCAGCACTTTCCCGGGCCGAGATATAAAAGGCAGGCAACAAAGGCTGCTATCCCAATAGGCCTGCGGGCGGAACGAGGAGAGGGCCCGACAATAAAATCAATCATACCACCGCGGTCGAAAAAGCGTGTTCCCTTCAGATAACACGCACCGTAGGCCATCCTCGGCCTTCTTCGTTTTCAATGAAAAAGAAAAAAAAAGATCGATCTCCGAAAGCATTTTCCTTCCCCCGCCACATCTCCCTCCCTTCGTCGAGCCTTTCCTTTAATGGTTGGGGGAAGCATTCCCTTATTTGAACTTAGCGAGCATTCTTTCCAGCCTTATTCAAATGGGGGTGGGTTTGGTTGGTTTGAACATAGGATAGGTTGGGCTCAAACATTATTTTCAGATCCTAGCTATGCCATACGTTCAATACATAATCTGGAAAGCTGCAGGGATGACAAAAAGAGGGCGTTTTCCTGTGTTGCACTGAAAAAAAAAGAAACCTAACTAAGTAAGAGAGAGAGAAGATGGATCCTATCCCCTATATCGAACACTAAATCCTATCTATTGATAGAAAGATCTTCGTCAAATACCGGATTTTGCCTTTAGGAATTCCTCAGACTCATATCCAAGGTAGCTTACCACAAGCACCCCACCCCATACGACTAGTTGGGGTTCGCCTTTTTAATCAAAGAAAGTCAGTATAAGTAGTAGGGGCTTCATAGCTACTTTCATTCTAAAGAAAATCGAAGAACCAACCTTTAGTCAATAGGAGCCCTACTTCCCTCTTTGCGACCTCATCACTTCAAAGCGCAAACCTATTTCTTTCTGAGTCACCGGGCGGAGCGCACCTTTGGTACTTCAGTAGGGCGAGCTTTTTGAAAGTTACTTCTTTTGTTTGGTAAGGCGACGAAAGAAAGGCTACTTCAATCTAGGAAACTCGAGAGGGTCGCCTTTGGAAGCGTTTGACGGTAACCAAAGCGTCACTCCTTCATTTTGTTTAATTATGTCGTGACGCTGACTGAATCCAATCCATAAACCCGGAAACGAAACTAATGTTCGTTCCCTTTCGTCAAGTAGGTAAAGTAGGCATACAAACCCATTTTTGCTTTGCCTTAGACTATGACCGAACAAAAAAAGGTTCGTCACTCTTTTTCACATACACCGGGAGAAAAGGTTACGATAGCAAGCCCCTCCTCGGCCGGAGAGCCTTCAGGACAAGGGGTCGGCGGTCAACCATCCACTCTCGAGATTCATATTGATCAATCGATCTTCGCGTCCTTCCAGTTCGCTAAGTAGACTCACTCTCCCGAGGGGCAACAATTGAACTATTCCTACCAAAAACAAGGGACCTACTTATCATCCTAGGAGTTAGCAAGTATGATTGCCTCTCTGTCTCTCCGAGTTTATACTACTAAGTAACACTTCTGCTATTCAATCATAAAATAGATTCTGATCAAGCTGAAAGATGAAAGAAAAAAGCCCTATATTATTGACAACGCCCTGCAATCAAAAAATAGCGCTAACGAGCAAGAAAATGCCCCTTACTATAGTATAGATAGGCTAAGATTTGAAGCCGCTCGACCCAAACAAGCAACGGAGTTCGAGCCCCTATCAGAGAAAGCATTGGTAAAGCGCGCTATCGCGCTTGACTTGGAGGTTCGCGCATCCTCTTGCTGGGAGAACTTTCTCAAAGTAAACTTTCTCGCTTGTTAGTCAAGCTTTGAAGCCCCTACTTTCTTGATGGTTGGGATATTAAAAGAAGCGCTGGTTTGGAACGGAACCCTATACAAGGGGCTTTCCCAACCTATATATACAAGGTGCTGGTCTCGATCTCGTTTGGCGGTGCCCCTCTCGATGATTGTTGACTCAACATTGATTTCGTGCTTGAGTTGGAGGGCCCTCCCTCCATCGAGTCAAGTAATTCGCTGTCGGAAATTTAGCCGCCGCGTATCTCATGCCATGCTTCTTGTTTCTCCGAATCGGTTTCGTCTGTCAGTCAATCAAGATTCGCCATCAAGAGAGGGAAGAGCCTTGACTTTCGGTTAGGCCGGTCTCGTCATTCATGCAATTCCCCCGTCCATCGATCACGCGAGCATCCAGTCAGCACATAGCGAACGAAAAAAGCGTTCATCCTGGATTATCTTCCTCAATAAAAATGTCTATCAATTGATACCTATTCATTCGGTCAAAGTCTCCATGGCGTTTTCACGCCCCTATACTTAGAGGTGCACCATGTTGATAGGAATCGGCAAAGACCTTCTTGTACACGTCCTAGAGGGCTGCATTCATGGAAATCATCACTAGTTTATCCCGAGGGCATGGTATGGCTTTGTTCTTTCTTGGTGTTGTTTAATAGATGTCGAGTGTCGCTTTTCCCCGTCCGAGAATCTCCATCTGCTCTAACTGGGCGAGCAATAATCCTTATGTCAGGTTGGTTGTTCAAAAGATACTTTATCTTTACCCTTCATCTTTTCGAAAGCCTAGACCCATTCTTCTGGATCTTTATTAGTCCTAGGTGCCCTCTTCAAGAAAGACCTCTTTCTTTCGCCTCCATTTATCATTTTTTTATTTAAAGAGGATAAGCGCTATCCATTGAGTAAAGGGAGGCTTTCCTACACTACAGTGATTCAGGCGGTTGGTGGCCCCTTCGAGAGTTGTGGGTCCTTGCCGCTGCATGAGTGGTAACTCACGCTTAAAACTCCTCCGACACGAGTCCTAGTTGTTGTGCTGCGGTCCGTTTTGCCGGCTTCGCTTGCGCGATTTTTTGCACTTACTTTATTATTGGTTTAATCCATCCCCGACCCTAATGAATCGAGTATGTATGAAGGGGTCAGTCAAGCGGTTCGAATTCTCGGTCGGTTCCCATTCGCCTGCCCCCCCTCATAGTCCATTAGTGGGTAGGCTAGTCAACTTAGAGGGCGCCCGCCTCCTCTTCAGACGTGTCTTCGACAACCTGGCGGTTGTTCGGTCTCCGCTTTTGGAGGCGGGAGTGCTTGGTCGTTGGGGTTTCCTTTTCCTCAACCAATTCGGTTGTGTCAGCCCTGAGATTGGTTGGTCTAACATTTATAAGCAGGCTGGCTGGACAAAGATGGATGGAAGGTAAGATAGATTTGAGTTCAAGTGGCACAGGACCTTCGATCGACCATGGGACGTATTCTACTCTTACCGAATTAATTCTATTGAAGAGTAACGTAAGACTTCTCATGTTGCATTTCTTTGTTTGGAAGTTCCAGAATGTTGTCTGTGGATTTCTAACAAAGGAAAGCCCCCTTTTCTTTATACCATTTGATTAATGAAAGTTCTGTGCTGATCGCCACTCCCCGAGGCCAAGGACGGGGTCGAACCGTCAATCCAGAATTTGCAGTCCGATACATTTCCATTATGTTACCCAGCCAAACCCGTCACCTCGTGTGCCAAAGTCAAACGGTTGGTCTTCCTTCCCCGCTCCTATTTTTTCTACATATGCAGTGGCGGGCGGAGCACTCGATATGACCGGCGGCGGGTTACCAGAGAAGAGGGGACAACTTATTTCTCCCTTGTCTTGCTCCATTTTCCTTTTATGATTTTAAGTAGCAAGCCACTCCACTACTGGTACAGAGGCCAGAAGTTTGCTTCCTCCATATGTTCAGGCAAAGAACATCTATAAGCTAGCTTTTGTCTTGTAAGCTACCATGCCTAATAATAATAATATAATTAAATTTTTCTTACCAAAGCAAAGAAGTGGTATTACTAAAAAAAAGTAAATAAGCAACCAGTTCCGTTCCAAGTGAAATGGCTTTTCACTATTCCTTATTCCTTTCTAGAGAAGCCCATCCAGCCCAGCGGATCCATTGTTTATGCGGCAGTGCGATGCTGCTGAAAAACGTAAGCCCTTAGGTATAGGTTGGGGAAAACTCCAAAAAAGGGCCTTATTCTTCCTTATATTAAATATAAGTTTTAGAAAGGGGGATCCCTACCCCCTAAATTACAAGCTAACGCGCAAAGAATTTTCAGCCGTTGTTGCTTTTTTTTTGCAGGCTCAAAAATATCTCTTACGCCTCTCCTCCCTGTCTCCATTCTGGTTGATTCGCTTATTCCTTCACGCAAGCGCTTGATTCGCCCCTTTTGTGTTGCATTTTTTAATGATCCCCAGCTTCAGTTTGCGTTTTTCGGATAGCCGGGATCCGACGTTGATTTCCTATTTATTTAAATGTCAGCTCCATGTTTTGGGGGGCCCATCTGGTTAGTTCAGCTATTACTGCTGGAAGCCCCTGCGGTTGTTTGGCTGCGTACTCCCAGTTTACGTATCTCATCACACTCCCAAAGCATCTTTTTTTTCTTCATATTTCTTCCGGTCGGCTTTTTGCAAATAGATGTTTTCCTGGGGAGATTGGTGCTCTTGAGGTATGCCCTTCCGGTGGGTTGTTATATTTTCTGTCTATTCCATCCAGTGCCCGCACTGCGTCAGAAAATCTTCGTCTTCGATCTCTCTTCGCAATGCAATAAAGAAAGAAGTCTAACAGTTTCTCTCGGCATCTGTATTTTAAGTCATTAATCTCATATCTATAAGCAGGGGGTCCGCGTTCACTATTAAGCCTACGCCCGTCCATTCCTTTCAAGCTTTATCCCGCCCTTAGACTTGTTACGCTTAACGCCCACTTACTTAAAGAGTCGTTGGCTCCGCGCTCTATTTGGTCGGAACCCGGTTTAAGAACCTTCTCTCATAGATTCCTTTCACCAAGTCATCGCCAACAATTAGCTCTTATCCTTTGGTGTGGTGTCAAAGGGAGGGTTCCTTTCTTGTCTTGCCCAAAAACTTGATTCTCATTGGAGAAAGACTCTCCCGCTGCAAGATTTTACACATAGGGCCAGCTGCTTTCTTTATCTCGCTTGTCGTTAGTCTGTTTAGCGCCTTTCTTTCGGTTAGGGTCCGTCCCGGGGCTTAGACCGCTTGGGTTCTATTTTTCTCTAAGGCAATCAACATGTCAGCCATTCCTTTCCCATTAGACTTGTAAATCCTTTTCTCTTTTTCTTTCTCTCCCTCTACTTAATTTGACAGGGGCGGATAATACCACTCTATCAATAACAATAATACAGTAGCAATTCAGTTTAAAATGGTTTGAGCTTTGAAGCAACCTACTATCTATCGATAGGCTAAAACAGACTGCTATTGGCTGCTTTACCTATCTATTCTATTATGGTCAGCTTGGAGACATCAGAGGAAGACCGTCATTTCCATCCGGGTACGATCATAGCTTCATTCGTTAAACCTTGGGGTGGGGATAACCATTAGCATTGAGGTCAATCACCACACCACCTCTATCCTATCATATGACATTACATGACACGAGAGTGCATGGTCAACCCACACCTACCTAAAGCGCCTACGTTCCGCTTGCAGCCAATACAAGCACAACCTAACTTGCACGAGATTCAACAACCAAAACTACAGGTAGTCCCGAGGGGACGACATCCTCCTATAATAGTTAGTAGTACTGAACAAGCGAGTCATAGGTCGGGGGAAAGAAAACGTCTTAAAAAAAAAGGACATTGCTCTAATCCTTGAGAACTTCCTTGATGATTTAGCAATTGAGAGACGATTGCGACAAGTAAGAAATTGGGCCACCCGGGAACTGGAAGATAAAAATAGTTCCGTTTGGCTTATATAATAATCTTTTTATAAATAACTAAACTCTAACTGGGCAGACCCTTAATCACTTCTAGTGGACTATGCATAGGACTACCCACGGAGCGGTGAAAAGACATATAGTATTCCTATTGATTCTAAGGGAGAACGAAGGACGGAGTGGAGGATGGAGGCGGATTGGTTGGAATGCGGGCCAGTCGGCTGGGAGGTTCGAGTGAGGTTACTGAAAGTGTTGACTATTATGTTCAAGGAAAAACGTCTGCTGCAGGGAATTTATTTGGAAGGTCAGTCTTTATCAGATTTTGCTTATTGCTTTTATGAATCTCTGTTGTGCTTTACTGTTATCTGTTTATTGTCGGTTGTTATAATTATCTATAAATCATTATAAAATATTCTCAACATTATTTTAACAGATTACAGGATGATAGTACTATTCAGGCATTATGCAGTTCAAACATCAATATAACTTGCTCAATTCAACATAACTCTATTCGATAACTCACTAAGTTTTTACATCTAACAGGCCTCACAACCATCACTTGCCATAAACTAACTGCAAATTTAATTCAATTAAATTGACAATCTAACTAATTCACATTCCTAACCAAAAGACCAAAGAGTATTAACACTTTTTAACAATCTAAGCAGTCAAGCAATCCCCTAACTAATTTACATGCTAACAACATCTAACCATCAAAGTTCCATTTTAAACCAAATTTTTAAATTGCCTTTATAACATTCACTATCATTTCACACTATCCAAATTCCACAGCCATAACCTACTAGTTCAGTAGCCAATTCCAAACACACACACACACACACCAGACAGTTTAAGTTTCATAGCAACATAGCTTCACATAGCAGTTCAACACCTAATATAGAGCATGTAATCCAAAGAGGCATAACAATTAACAGTTGGCATAACATATAACAGTCAACAACAATTAACTTGCTGACTGTCCTTCAATTCCTTTAACAATTAAGTGGAAATACAACAAAGTCCTTCACTGTTCCGTTCTAACCATTCAATACCAAAGCTAACTGACCGCGGTCCTAGTAGATCGTTTAACATTCCATGATCAAGAGAGCTTCTTTGTAGGGAAATATTTTAATTATATATGGAATCCCATAATTTCCATTGAGCGGGTATATGAAATAAAAAAAGAAGACTAAAATTTAGAAAAGGTTTTCCAATAAACTCCCCAGACTATAGTAAAATGGAGGGAGATGAAGCTCAAGAACAAGCACTTAAACGAGGGATCCATATAAATAAGACCGGCAGCCAGAGATTCCAATAGGCAAGAACGGTCCACACCAGTATGGGCGCATGAGAGTACTCTCCCCTCAAAGTATGCCACCAGTTAGGTTGAATGTAAGATGGCTTTGTGTTGTGCGAGAATGGCAAGAATCGGGTCAGATT